GGCTATCTGCAACCAATTTTCACCTCCTGCTTTCATATATTCCTTATCCCAATCTGGATCAGGACCATACCACAGCCATGACTTCCTATCTCCCAAATACAATCCTCGAATCATATTCATATGGAAATCATCATTAGCCCCACACCTGGGAAAAGGATCAGATGACTTCATAGTCTCTGTCCATCCTGCTAAATTTGACACAAAGGGGATTATAAGAAATCCTCCTTGTGCTCCTATTCTAGTAACATAATTTAGACATGACTCCCCTGGGTGGGGTAAAGGGTAAGAAATAGACTGATTATTTCCCATATTTCTGGCTCAGGGTAGAGACCTACTTACCAATAGTGTGTCTCTACTTAACAAGCAAAATAAACACAAAGCAGACACAGGGTGACCAGAGGAACGAGAAGTTTGGGTTATTCTAGATCTATAAACCGTGTTTCCTAGAACACCTATAGTCTTAGTAAACCGGAGACTCCTTTATAGTCTCAAAACCTGTATCTACCTGAGATACCCTGTATCTATCTTAGATACTAACCTGGGTTACCAGGAACCCTATATTAGACCAACTGTCCAGTAAAAACCAGAGACCTATTTACAGTCTCAATACAACTAAAGTCCTTACACCTTTCTTATCTACTGGTTGCAGACTTATTGAACCAAAGGGGATCATAGACATTCAGCGTCAATAAGACACAAAAGGCTACTTACCCACAATGGTCCTGCTGTTATCCCACTTCTAACACCAAGCTGAAAGGGTTAATGCTGTTCTGGACTCAACTCCCCTCGAGTATCGATTCTCCGGGCACCACATCAATTGATAGGAGTTCTTGTTTAGCAAATTAAGACACAGACACGAAAGAATGTTTAACAAGTTCTCAGGGCTATTTTCAGGGCTAGCATTTATACACAGTTTGTCACGCAAGCAGCGAGATTTATCGTTTCCTTGTAGTTAATAGTACATACTTGTCTGACATTAAAAGATACGCATTTGAATAAAGACGGGACAGGAACATCCTGAGTTCGAGCGAGGTCACACATCCTGTAGAAAGGGAGGCCTCTCAAAAGCATGTTACAGAATACATCTGCCAAGGTCAGCATAATTATTTCAAACATTATTTTAAAGCATATAAAGCAAAAAGAGTTAACTATTTCATATCCTTACACCAGGTACAGTGTTTTCATCCTCATGACACTTAGTTGGACACCACACTTCTGCCAGAAATACTCAGTATCTGAATCATGGGCTTATATTTTAACTGGTGAAGATCTATGTCTCATCTATTCGACATAGCAGCTAACTGTACCACCTACTTTGAACTACATTGAACTTTGAATATTCTCTTGACTTGTAGTACGATTGCAGAATCCATTTATCCTTGCCATGGTGGTTTCGAATTCACATTTTATCATAAATAGCAAACTCTGCAATACTAGAAATGTTTAACTTCTGTTAACCCTTTAAGGACTGAGCCAGTTCTACATGTTGTGTTGAAAACAAAATGTAAAGAAAAACTGGAATTTGCACTATATGTCTGTTCAACAGTAATTCACCTTTTTCATGTTAAGTCCTCCCACACTTATGAAATATTATTTTGTCCAGGAGAAACAGGGCTTTCATTTCATATGAACTATTCATACTTGAAACATAATTCATTATGAATAAAATCTTAAAAAATGTGTGAGATATTAAGATTTTTAAAAATCTTTTTAGTTCTGCATGGCATTTTAACTGTGACTGTCATCTTACTGTTAGCTTTTACTGCAATAAAATGCACATTTATGTATTCAGCAAAGTCTCACGAGTACAACAGTACCCCCATGCTCAGGTTTTATGGTGTTTGGAAAGTTACAGGGACAAATAAAGCATGTTTCATTTTTCAGTTTATACACATTGAAATATGTCAGGCTGGTTATGTTGCCTTTGAGACTGTATCATAGCCCAGGAATGAGAATTACCCCCATGACAGCATACCATTTGCAAAAATAGACAACCCAGGGTATTCAATTACAACTTGAACACTTTGCCATATTCCTCAAACCATTCCTAAATCAATTTGCAGTGTGGCAGGGTGCATTACCCTGTTGAGAACGACCACTGCCATCAAGGAACACCAATGCCATGAAGGGTTGAATGTGGACTGCAACAATCTCTAGGTAGGTGATACATGTCAAAGTAACATCCACATGAATGCCAGGATCCAATGATTCCCATCTGATCATTACCTAGAGCAAAACACTGCCTCTGCCGACCTGCCTTCTTCCCATAGTGCATCCTTCTGCCATCTCTTCCCAAGATACACAATGCCCCCGGCCATTCACCTGATCTAAAAGAAAACATGATTAATTAGATTAGGCAACCTTCATCAATTACTCCCTGGTCCAGTCACTGACACTCACTTCCCCAGGCGCTTCAGCGGTGGACAGGGTTTAAAAATAAATTTAATTAAATTATCCACTTGGCTACTTGTGCCAAAACAGGTGGTTTGTCTGTCCTCTTTTTGACTGATAAAGATACATGTATTGTTCAGCAATCTATGAATTTATTTTTCTAATTGAAACAATTGTTGTAGCGTATTAATTTATTTTTTCAACCAGGCGGGCCAGCCTTTGAGTCCCATATGCATCAATGTAATTTGGGCGCTCATGCCTCTAATGCCAGATTACTGATTGTCCTCCTTGCACCACCTTTGGTAGGTACTAACAACTGCAAACCAGGAACACCCCACAAGACCCAGATGTCTAACCATCACTATTTTGCCCTTGTCAAAATTACTCAGCACCAGTCATATGGCAAAAGTGTAGATACAATTCCATCTGGCATTCCTCATACATCATGCTTATTAAGTGATATCTTGGTACCCATAAAGACTGATAGAGAACATAAAGAAAATGTGAAGAAAGTTTTGAGTAATTTGGTCTACAAATCAATTTACCAAAATGTGAACTTTTCGAGTTTTGTGCTTAGATTGTAGATAAAGAAGGTGTCCACAAAACAGAAGAGAAAATAAGGGCTTTAGCCCAAGCAGCAAGACCAAGGAATATGCACCAACTATGATCATATCTTGGTTTAGTGGATTATGATCATCCTTTTCTACCTAATTTGTCCAAGATATTATATTCCTTGCATAGGCTATAAAATACCAAAGCAAAGTGGATGTGGACACTACTGTATGAAAAAAAGGGAATCAATTTCATCTTCTAGAGTACATTATGACATGTCCAAACCTATAACAGCAGTATGACACCTCACCGTAATGAGCTGTAAACATTATGACCATTAGCTTCTAGATTACTCACTCAGACTGATTTTTTTTAATATTTATCTTTATGGATGTAAGTTCACACTAATAACTGATCACAATAATAATAATAATAACTATTATTATTATTATTATTATTATTATTATTATTATGCAACAACTGTCTTCAACTGAAGGGAGTTGTGTTAGAAAATCCTGCCAGGAACATACATTTTGTTTAATAAAAGAAATGGAAAGGGTGGAAGGGTGGGCCCTGACATCCACGATGGCCGCATTTGCATTTCTGTAACGTTCACTAGGGAACCCTAACACGCAGACAGGACAGAGTACAGAGAATTGCAATACCGATCCCTAGAATGGTTGAGTTATGCAAAAAGGGATAGTCAAAACATGAGCCGAGATCAAGGGAAATAGAGAGACGGAACAACAAGAGACAAAGCCAAATATCAGTAACCAGGAAATACAAATAACAAGTGCAACGCTCAATGGTAAACCAAAGACCACAACAGGGCACTGAGGCAAGGGAGGGGCTAGTTTATATACACACAGGGTGTGTTTGATTGGCTAAACTTCAATTAGTGTTAACCACAACATGTGGGAGGAGTTTCTTCCCTCCCTTGTGGTCTCTGAGGTCATCACTGTGCGCCTGGTCACATGACCGAGTGCAGCACACATATAAGGAAGCTGCTCTGGAGCGTGCAGCGTCAGACACATTGCCAGTCTGGACAGGGACCAGATGACGCCGCTCACTGTGATGAGGTAGGCAAGGTCCCCATGAGCGGCGTGAAGGCAGGGGACCTGACCATTTCAGTATCTCCTGAATAATTGAGTACAATTTTAGCTAAATGTTGGTCTTAGATGCTTTTAAAACTCAAAAGGTTCTCCGTGAACCAGAATGCCGGAGTGACCACGGCCCAATCATCAGGCAAAAGGGGATCCTTGGAAACAAGGACTGACTCCCGGCCTGGGCGTGAGGAGGAGTGGGGCCACAGCGCTGTGGATTACATCCTCCACTACTGTATATGATTCAACTAAACTTCAAGCAAAGCGCAGCGGAAAGAGGTGAAGCCGAACCTAGCATGAATATTGCCTGTCTGCAGCGGCCTGCTAGTGGCATCGGGTGACATATGGATGACAGCACACTATCTGATACCTCAGCTGTTCATAGAGCTGTACTATTCTAATTGTATTACTTGCATTAGTCTATAAGCTGTTTTTTCTTTAATAGTTTTAATACCCAGTGGTACCAAAGCTTCCTTGCCTACACTGCTTAGTTTTCTAAGACAGTCCAGCTGTTTTACAGACATTTTTACCATGTTAATGTATAGCCCAATATTCCTATATTGTATGACTTATGCTCGAGGGTTAGATAATGTCTTTTAGTTGGACATGCTTAAGCGTATGCCTATCTAGCAGCTGGACAGGCCTAACCTATCTTGTTTTATTTCATGCTCTTACAAATAATTATGCTTTGACCTCAAATGCCACTCTCTGTTCTGATATGTATTTTTGTTTTCAATGCTATTGCTGTTGTGGCATAGCAGGAAGGTTTGTAATTCTGTGCACAGAGAAAAATAAAGATTTGAAAAAAACAAATGGGGGGAGAGGATATAAATTAGTTAATTTTTTAGAACGACTCACTTATATAAATGAAGCATAAATATATTTAAAAGTTGAATTATCTTTTTTAGTGCAACATTTATTAAATAGAAATATATCCTACCAAAGAAATGTTTGTTCCAGAATGAGTTTGGATTTAGTCATAAATAAATATAAATCTCTGTATAAAATGATATTATATTGTTCTCAAAATGTTATCCAAAACTGTGGCTGTTCATAACTTCTTAGCTGAGTCAGAGATTAAGGGTATTGTTGCATGATATGTGTTGTTAAATCAGCCATATGACTTTAAAATAATGTAACTTTTTTTATTGATACAGATTTGTGCTTATATACTGCTCCCCATGATATGCTGTAACACAAAACATTATAGTCAAGCAATCTTCTGTATCAAGATTTTTTAACCTAACAAAAATCTTAACCAGAGTTAATATAAAATATTGGACAAATTACAATCCATCTCTCTGATAACAATAGCAGTGAGATTCTGACAAATATCTGAACTAGATTACAAAGCAAACAGATATCTGGATGACTCAGTCTGCACGTAATCCAGTTATTTATAAATGCATAATTAATTAATTAATTAATTAAATGTGTCTCAGACTTTCTCAATCCAATAGAAGCTGCTCCCAAAGAATGCACGTTAACCCCAATTGAGGAGTTTTTTGAAAATTGGATTCCATATATTTCAGCTTGTTTTTATTAATCTTGCCTAATAAATATTTATCTTTTTTTATTTTTAAATTTAAAATTAGAGACAAGAGCTTTAGCTAAATTATAAAAGGCCATATTATATTAAGTAAACAGAAATTCGGTAATGAAAATTAAAGTAACAGAGAACTCTAAAAACAGGCAAAAGCTCAGAAAACTCAATAGCTTGCCCTACAGTTAGTGCCTGCTCAGGTAGCAAAAAACGCTTAGCTCATCTATGCCATTACAGAGAGAACCTATAGCATCTGGATAGTTGTCTGACCCATAAGCACATCCCAGATCCAAAATGCAGGCATGTTCCCTCAACATGAACGATACATTAACCCTGGACAATCTGTTTGGCCTTCTTGAGCTCGTCAGCAAGGTCTAGCTTTAATTTGAATTTACGAAATAAAAAGTGTTATTTGAGTTATGATTGTATTGAAAGTTAGCATGGACAAAATAAAAAATATACATTATGTACCATAGCAGAGCATATTAAATATTTGATTTTTTTGTTTTGTTTAATGTATATTTTAAGTTTTTACAAATTTACAAACATGTGTTTCTGACTATAGTGTTTAATTGTTTATGTGACCGGCCCCCCTTAGATCATTTGGGACAGGTGTTTTTACTCACTTTTCTTTCCAGACCCCACCGGTCCAGCCACGGATGGCACCACCCCCATGCCTTAGATCCTCAATCTTGACACTCTCCGCCAATCCAATGACCTCCAATAGGAAAGCATTGGTAGGTTATTGTACAATCGGGGCAAAATGCCACGCTGCCAATGCCAATAAGTATCTCAGTATTGAATAATTGAATTAATGCATCTCTATGGGGAATGTTCGGCGCCACCATGCAGAACATGGAGATGCTGAAAGCCAATGCTGAACACTGTGTAGCACTGGACTAGGAAGCACCTCAAGTGGCAGTGGTAGTGACTACCCCTAGTGATGTCCCGAACGGTTCGCGAACGGTTCGCCACGAAGGGTTCGCCACGGACTCCAGTCAGCAGACACATTCCAGCCAATCAGCAGCAGACCCTCCCTCCCAGACCCTCCCAACTCCTGGACAGCATCCATTTTGAAGCTGCATTCTTAGTGAGCTGTCCAGGAGGTGGGAGGATCTGGGAGGGAGGGTCTGCTGCTGATTGGCTGGAATGTGTCTACTGACTGGAGTCCGTGGCGAACCGTGGCGAACCGTTCGGCGAACCGTTCGGCGAACCGTTCGGGACATCACTAACTACCACCAGAGATTTTCCTAGGCAGCAATGTAAACACTACCTTTTCTCTGAAATGGGGTTTTAACTAGAAAGGAAAGTAGTAGAAAATAAGAAATCTATTATTGATATTTTTTTTTAATTACTATTATTTAAATAAGCTTAGTTATACATGAGAGACCCTACTGATTCCAGAAATTTTGTTTGCTCTCTTTATAAAATTTTAAGAGCTCCTAAGATGAAACCAATAAAACAATACGAGTTAAAATACAGCAATAACTCCAGAAATGTGGCTGCAATGTTGCATCTACTTCAAGCTGAATATTATGCATTTGTGTTATGTAATGTCATCTTAGACAGAGAAAAAAAAAGTTAAACATCAGTGATATAATTTCTACCTGACTGACTGCTTTGGGCATGGGAAATTAAAGGAACACTATAGACACTATAGGGTGAGGAACACAAACATGTATTCCTGAACCTATAGTGTTTAAACCAGTATCTAAGCCCACTTGCCCTCCTAAATATAGTAAAATCTTACCTTTATTCCTGTCTGGTGCTAGCTCACCCCTGAGCTGTATCCTTGGCTGACATCCTCAGAAGTGGTGATCTCAGCCAACCATAATGCTTTCCCGTAGAAAAGCATTGGATTGGCTGAGATTGTGAATTCTGATGATCACAGGCAAGTAAACAGCTCAGTGCTGCACAGTGTTTACTGCAAAAAGCCTGCAGGGACTGACTTTAGTCAGCACAAAGCTGTAGTTGTTATAGTGACTATGGTGTCCTGTTTTGTTGGGGGGAAATTTGGGGGAAAGTAGCAATGCATATTTTGCATTGCGAAATGCAGAAAAGGATGAAATAAAATCTCAAATGCACCTCAGTACTCACTAAAATTAAGATAACAAAATATTTTCAATCATCCCTATATGTAATGCACATTTCTAATGTAACATATGGTTCTCGAATCCAAGGAAAAAATATTCTTGTGCTTTCTGCATGATTTAAAAAGTTAAAGAGGAGCACGTTTTTGTCATGCTGTCAATAACTCTTCTCTTCAATTATATTATTTTAAATTTTTTACTGTCTTAAATATTATTAATTAGACAGTGTTCCTAATATCTGACTATAGCTGACAATAACCACCCTGCCCTTTTAACATTATAACTACAGTATACATCACCCTTTTTATTAATTTCATTATTTGTTTCCAGCATAAGAGCTACTTATAAGAAATATATGACTACACCACTCTCATTTACTGCATGCAGGCTGAATAGATTTGGTTTCCAGTCCAGCATCATTACAAAGACTTGGCATTGATGCAGGTGATTTATCTAAGCCCAGAAAATGCCTATTAGAGTTTCCATGCAGGAATCTGTCTTCCTTCTGCTAACAACACATGCCACTTTTGTAATGTTTGCAATGAGCTGGGGAACATACACATAGCATGATGCATTCATCATTCAAGTCATTGAAATATTATTTAGAACTAGTGGATAATGAAATATTTTCATTTGGCAGAAATCCTAGGGACAATGATTTTTTGGCATGATCATTATGTCTAATTAATAGAATTTGCATCTGACAGATTAATCATTTATCCGTATTTTTTTTATAACTTGTTTGTTGCCAGAGATGTCTGCTTTTAGTTAGTTAACACTGAAGACTTACTTTAATTTTTAAAAGACTTTAGGCTTCAATTATTTTTTTTTTTTCACATCGCCTGATAGCATGTCTAGTTTTACCATCCAGTGTTCAAACTCTATAGTAATATACAAAACAAAACAATCTGCAAACCATATGTTGGCATTTGTTGGGTTATCAAGCAGAGAGAGATGGTGATGACTAGGCTCTAAGGAAAAACTTAAACTACAGGCCTGTATTTCTGCTTAAAGTTTACAAAACAGTCACAATGAGTTGATTTAACCTAATGTTTTTTTTCTCAACCATCAGTGTTACATTTCTATGTGTTCAGTTATGCAATCAGCTCATAGAGACACAGTTTGATTATTAAACCAACACTCTAGTGGTTTTTGGTGCATAAATGCTTTACCCTTTCTTGGACAATGTAAAACATTGTTGTTTCTGAGAAATGGTAATGTTTACATTTTGCCAAAAATATGTCAGACAGGCAGCCGTTGCTTCCTTCTATAGACCTTTGAGTTGTGAAAGTTTTATGTTTCACTACCTGGTATATACCCACTGTGGCCAGCCTCTTCTCCTGGGGGCTCCAAGAGTTGACCACCCCAGGGCCCCCAGAGGCTGGCCCTGGTATCACCCGGAGGGAAGGCTGGCGGGCGCGCGAGGGAGCACTGTCCCAGTGTGCTCCCTCTTCAACTCCCTCACGCACCGCACTGATACCGGAGCCGGAAGATGACATCAGTGGTGACCGGCCGCCCAGCAGCACCACTGGACCCCAGGAAAACCCCTCAGCTCTCCAAAAGGTAAGGAGGATGGGGGATTAAATTGAAAAAAAAAACATGTGTGTGTTAGTGTTAGTGTGTTATTGTTAGCGTGTTAGTGTTTGTCAGTGAGAGTGTATGTTTTGTAAGTGAGTGTGTATGTATGTCTGTCTCTGAGTGTGTCTCTGTCAGTAAATGTGTGTGTCTGTTAGCTAGTGTGTATGCATCTGTTCGTGAGAGTGTGTGTGTGTCTTCAGCACTTACCTTTCTCCAGTGCCGGACTCCCTTGGTGCTGGGGATCCCTCTGCCTCTCAGCTCCGAATGCGCGCATTCAAACTACCCATAGGAAAGCATTACTCAATGCTTTCCTATGGACGTTCAGTGTCTTAGAATCGCGGAAGCTCCTCTAGCGGCTGTCAATGAGACAGCCACTAGAGGCTGGATTAACCCTCAGTGAAACATAGCAGTTTCTCTGAAACTGCTATGTTTTCAGCTGCAGGGTTAAAACTAGAGGGACCTGGCACCCAGACCACTTCATTGAGCTGATGTGATCTGGGTGTAGTGTTCCTTTAAGTGTGTGTGCATCTGCAAGCACTGGCGTACATACCGTGGTCGCAGGGGTCGCAGCCCTGCAGCCCCTGCGGCCAGATGCCTGCCACCATGTGTTGCGGACCCCGGCCCGCGCAGAGTAAGTGGGGGGGGGCCCACGGATCAATTTTCACACCGGGGCCCCATGGGTCATGTGTACGCCACTGACCCTACTCATAGAAATATTTCAGTCTGAGCAGTGTTCACTGCCTATTGTGGTTTCTACAGTCACAATTTAGATTAGTCAGATTCTCTAATATTTTTGACTTGGCTTATATGTTCTCTGTTACCATTTCTGTTACCCAGCTCTGTTTATTGCTATTGTGTACCTCTCTTGTCCTTGACCTCTGCTTGTCCTGACTTGTCTTTTGTGCATTAAGGCTACTTCAAGTAGGATAACATTCTATGTAACAAAGCACATGTAACCAAAGCCAGTTTCAAGAATCTGATAACGAAATGAAGGTAACCCAATGGTTTCTACTGTCACTGGATTTCAACCAGTTAGAGGGAAATATTGTAGAATGGAAGTTCCTCAGCAAGGCTGTACAGCTGAAACATCTGTAAGATTTTATAATGTGGACATGGGCTACAATCTATAATTCAAGGTATTCTCTTTATGCAAAACTACAACTACTTTATATTGCAAGGTAGATAATTTTATCTGATTATTACGATTGCAAAAATGATTTATTTACTTAAATTTGCATAAATATTTCATGAGCCCTAAAAGCTTAGTTTTCATTAGCTGCAGAACTAGTCTCTGCAGCTAAGGAGGTTTCATCCCCTTTTTTTCAGCACTTTCTTTATTGTCAGTTCATTGAGAAGCAATGATAACAAATCTCCAGCCTAACTCTTCAGAAATTGGTTGTTTTATGAAACTTTAGGGATTCTTACATAAAATAAATTACTAAATCAGTGGTAGTCAACCTTTTTCTACCTACTGCCCACTAATGCATCTTTCTTGATAGAAAAATTTCCTTACCGCCCACCAGTTTTTGCACAAGTGCGGAATATTTTTTAGAAAGGAGGGTGTTTTAAAAAAAATAAATGTATGTACAGTTATATTTTTATTTCTACTTTATGCATGTTTATAATGTTTTTAACTTTATAAAGTTTAATGAGAAAACAATAAAGCAAAATTGAAATTACCGTTACTAGTGATTAATGAGATCCTTGAGGTTGATGCTGCCAGACTAAATATTTGATATCTGGTTCGATTTTCGTAAGGAACAAACAAAGGTCTACTCTTTTGGTGATATTTAGACGACTTCTCTGTTTGCTCATAATATGATTCCTCATCTGTGCGTCAGCTCCCCTCCTCTCCCTCCTCAATTCCCCTCCCCACCTTTTTTTCCTTTTTTCTATTTTTTAACCTTCCTCATAGCAATACCCAGTAGGAAGGATGAGCTAGGTAGCCCACTTACTATTACTTACTATAGCCCACTATAACAGACAGGCACACATACATACATACAGACACACACACACACACAAGACACGCATACACACATACAGACACACACACACACACAAGACACACATACATACAAAGACACATACATACAAACAGACAGGCACACATACATACATACATACATACATACATACAGACAGACACACAGACAGGCACACATACATACAGACACACAGACACATACATACAGACACACACATACAAAAACACACACATAAGACATACATACAAAGACACATACTCACATACAGTCAGACACAAGACACACATACATAGAAAGACACATACACACACAACACATGCATACAAAGACAAGACACACATACATACACACATATATACAGACAGACACACATACACACAAGACATACATACAAAGACACACACATACATACATACATACAAGGACACATACATAAGACACATACATACAGACACATACATACAGACAGACACACACAAGACATACATACAAAGACACACACA